GTGTTGTCACTTAGAGGGTGGTTGTTGTAATTTTGTCAATTTCCGCATACCAGCGTTACAGTAATGCCTACTCTATTTAAATTTCATTTCTGGGCAAAATAGAACGAAAGATGGAGCAGACAATTTTGTGAAAAAATATGCGTGGTATCACTGATTCTTTTTTTCGCTTTCGTTTTGACTTTTCGTTTCAAATTCATTGGAAAATCTGAGCGATAATTTGAATGATTTTGTAAATAAATTTTTTTTTTAAATATATACTATTCATATCCAACATATGCAGGCAGGTTCTGTAATTCACTTCCGAGTGAATTTTAATCAAATTCGCTTTGAATTCAAATTTACAGTGATTGAAATTCGCTCGGAATAAATTGATTATTGGAGCAGTGCCTCGGATGGCTATGATGATGCACTTTGGTCTAGCAACTTACACGTATAATTATTTTATAAACTGCTAGAATTAAGAAATGTAATTTTAAAATGGTAACGAACAAAAAGGTTGAAATAAAATTCCCTTTAAAGTTAAGATATTTAAAAACTAAGTACGCATATACATATACTTGAGAACTTCAATGAAAAAATACAAATAAAATTCCATACGGGATAATATGCTATATTTATTAGAATTTGAGAATAATTAAATAAAGAGAATGGTAATACTTTTTAAGTTTTAACCAACATCATATGTGTGCGGTACGACTGTGTGGCCTTTTAAGTTTTACAAATAATAATTTTAAGGTATAAAATTAAGACTTAATAATAATTATAATCATTAAGTGTGATCGAAAAAATAAAAATTAAGTAATAAGAATTTCTTAATACAAAAATACAAAAAATATCAATTTCTGTAGGCCAACGATTCTCACCCATTTTTCTTGTTGTCGCCAGCGAATGCAGAACAAACATTTTTTCAAATTTAAAAGGTAAAAACTTCGCTACTAAAAATTTAAAAATGTTCCTAAAACTGGCAAAGAAATTTGGAAAAGAAATATCACTGTTTTCGTTTTTAGGAGCAGGGTGGGAGTGTAATGGATAAAATTAGACTGAGAGAAAGTTTTTCCTACAAAACCTTTCGTTATTGAATCATGGGTATAACCCATGCTGGAACAATACCAGGTGAAGTAATAAGAGCGAGAAGGAAGATTTAACACTACCTTATTGGAAGTGTTCGCCCCTTAGATTTTTTTAAAGGTTAAAGGCCAGAAATATTAAAAAGAATTACCCTTTTTGGTAGTTCTTTTTTTTTAATACATACATAAGATTAAAAATTACTTTTGAAATATGCCTATTTGAAAAATAAAAGAGCCATTTAAATTGATAAGTTTTAAGCATAATTTATTATTTCTTATTCAAATTAGATATGTAGAAGCTAAACATTTTAAGGATTATTTAGTATTGAAAGACAAACACTAACAATAACATAGAGCTTTAAGGATTTACAGCCAATGTAATAAATAATAATTAGGAACGTAAATAAAGATTTTGACGCTAATAAGAGTAATGTGGTGTACTTAATCCATGGAATAGTTTACACAAAGAGAAGCAATCAAGAACGTTGATACTGAAGACTACCCAGATTGAGAAATGTCTATATCATTATAGATAAAAGGTCCAACTACGGTTTCAAAACACCATTTTAATGCCGCACAAAGGGATATTTTTAGGCCAAAAAAAATCTATTGAAATGGGGAAATTAGTAAAAACGATTTTTCACAAATAATACTACAAGGACTCGCCGACAAATGCATACAAAAATCTCAATAAAAGTAAGTAATGCAGTAACCACTCAAAAGAGACAGTAAATGCCGTAAACTCGATGTGTGTCTTGTATTCTATCATTCTTGGGTTTACTGTATACTGTGCTCTGTCATAGTCAAGTTAACAACCAAAACTTTTTTGCGCCATCTAACTGTGGTCTATTGCAGAACGCACACACAAGCAACGTAATAGCATTTATTCGTTTACGTTCATTGCATATCCCACTGCCAAAACGTAACAAACAGCTGATTTTGACTATTAAGAAATTTTGTACAATTTTGCTCTAACCGAAGACGGTTTGTATTTTGGCTGCAAATTTAATAATAATTTAAATTTAAAATGTTAAATGTAGCCAGGATTGCTCTACGCAGTGGTAAATACAATTATAATTTTTATAAATTGAACTGTTCACTATTCAAAAACTTAATTTGCAGTCGCTACAAGTTCTCGCCTAAGTGTAACCCCACTTTTTAGTGCCACACCAATGCGACGACAATTTAGTACACCGGCCCAAACCAAGGAGGATGAACCCATCGATATACCCAACCCTTTCGAGAAGGACCGTCGAGTGTGCATTCTTTGTAAGCACAACATAGTGCCGAACTATAAAAACGTAAAACTTCTCTCTCAGTTCCAGTCTCCATACACGGGACGTATATACGGGCGGCACATAACTGGCTTATGTAAACAAAAGCAGGAACAAGTAGAAAAAGCAATTATACGTGCCCAGAATTGCGCCCTTATGCCGAGTTATCACAAAGACATGGACTTTTTGCAAGATCCACGCCTATTTGATCCCGAGAGACCGATACGTCCCCATAAATACTAGACTAGTTTTTTAGTCTCACATCTTCCAAATAAGAAATCGGTTTTATTTATATTTAATTAGGGTAGAAATAAACATTTATTATCTGCTAAATGAAAGTAAATGTCGCTCGTTTAATAACGAAGTATATCAAAATTTCAATTTTGTGGGAAAACGCAATTAATGTTTTATCAATTCACACTGTTGGTAAACAAAACGACATATGGAAAGACATATATCTTCGCCATATGTGAGAAGTTTGGTTACCTTTTAGACTGAGCATATTCTACTTATCAAGCTTATTAATTGCTTAATGAAATCTCCAAAAACGTAAATTTTGAGTTGCATCTCTATATTATTAAACGTGCGATGTAATCTGTATTTTTTTCCAAAGCTCTGGCAAAGTCGACCTTTCACTCTTCCATCGCCCTATTTAGTTCTTCCACTTGCTTGGAGTGCTGTTTGCGTCCTTCGAGTTCCTGTGCGGTCTGAATTTGTTTCCAATAAAGCTTCTCTGGAAATGTCCGCGTCCTGTTCCTGATCTATGTCAACGTTTTCCTCTTCATTTTCACTACTTTCAGTGGGAATATTCATTTTTACAACTAATTTTCTTTCGGCTTGTTTCATATTTGTATCGCTTTTGCGTTGGAAATGAATATTAATCCTTTTTTCCTCCATTATATAAAGATGCCCTAAATTTTGTACAACGTTTTTCTGTTGAGAGAAAAATTAGTCTTAGCACTGAAAAGCAAAATCAGCAATTGCGTTTATCGCCCTTTGAAGTTAGTTTTTAGAAGATTTTTCATATATTTTATGTTTCGATGTGTTATGGTACGTACGTCCATCATTATAGAAAGTGTAAAAGTTGTTCCGTGCAGAAGTGGATAACTTTTGACTGCCGTTCACCTGGGAGCGGCCAGAAGCGATTCTTGTGCGTACGGTTCAAATCGCAGCTCACAAC